GATTTGTGTCTTAAAAAGAGAGCTCTGTTGCATGCTTTCCGACCATCTGTTAGTTCAACAAATACTCATCAGGCTCCTATGTGCCAGAACTATGCTAGGCGCTGGGGAGATAGTGGTGAATTAATGACTAGTTCTTGGTATGGTGGCACTTACGGCTTGGTTAGGAGATAGATGATTTAAAATTAGTCAAAAAATTGAAATTTAATTATAAATAGTAGAAAATGCCATATAAGAAGATCAGGAAACGCTTTGAGAATTAGGAGGGAGGATTCATTTTGTTTGGAGGTTGGGTGGAAGTTGGGTCAAGGGAGGCCACTGAGCTGAAACCTGACAGGTGAGCAGCCGTTGCCAGGCGGAAAGGGGTAAAATGGTTAAGGTAGAGTTTGGTGGAACGAGAGGCTTAACAATTGGTAGGAAGCTATTGTATCAATCCAGGCAGGTTCCTGATTGCTCATGTACAAAAATTCGGAGGTTGATCTGTGTGGGTCTCCAAAGCCACCTACAGCTCTTCAGTTCGGTAGAATTAAGCGTATACTATGTGTTTGACCTTGTGCAAGGTGCGGAGTAGGAAGAAAATAAAATTTTCCAACAGCGTGATTGTCCAACAAGTTGGACATTTGATGCGGGTTCAGAGAGTTTAGCTGCAGGTGTGTATTACATGTTAGACAGGCTTAACAGAATTCTTAGAGCACTTTTAATTCTTTCTTGTTGAAATGACAGAACCATCTACCACTCTCCAGGGCCCAACTTCTCTTTCTTAAGTTTCTTCTCTTGGATTGCCTCCTACTTGGGGCTCCCAATCAAGGTGAATGGATGGATGGATGGATAGATAGATACTTGAAACTTAGAATGTCTAATATGGTATCAAACACCTGTAGGATTACATGCTCATCATTACAGTGGGGATAAAGATGTCATTAATCATCTGAAGAACTGCCACCTAATTGGTGACTACTATTAACTTATAGAGGTGGCGCCTTATGTATAAAAGGCATTCAAAAATGTTTGGTTAAATGAATGTACGAATGAACTGTGCCTCCAAGTGTTCAAGTGAGACACAAGATCGGATGTCTGCCACAAACTCCCTAGGGCTGTGGTCCCATCAGTGTGATTATGGTCCCCTCCTTAAGCGCTGTCACTAACGTGATGGACAAAAAGTAGGATGTGTTCCCACCCTTCCCCTGCCCCCTCGAAGGCGTCTTGTTCTGCCCACTCAATTTCTCTCTACCCTTGATAAACTCAGAAGAGCTTCCCTCTCTGACTTTCAGGGCTCTTATTTTCAGAACTGGAAGAAAGGCGAGCAAAACAGGTGACATGATGCTCAGGTTAGGGTTGAGGAATGAGTGGTTTTCTTTGTGTTTCATTTTTTCTTTTTTATGAACCACCCTTTCAGTAATTTTGGCACTCTTGCATAAATAGGATCACGTCGTAAATTCTAATTTGATTGTGGACACCATTTTAAATAAACTTTTACTTCTCTTGTTGGTTGATTTACTCCCTCGAGCATCCCCAGGAAGAGATCATCTGTCTATCTTCCTGTCTTTTTGGAAGAGAAAGGTACTGAAGCAGTGGCAGTGAGCAAGGAAGAGGGTAGGGGAAAGGAGGAATTTTAAGCAGGGTTTCTTTAATGCATGAATCCAAGATGAGCTGTTATGAAATTCTGTCTTGGCTGCTAGACCGTTGGAATAATCAGAACACAGTTTGGAAAGGGCTCAGCTAGCCACTCTTGAAGGCAGTGGTTCTTCACGACTGCCCTTTCGCTTAGTAAGGACAGAGTCTAAATTCATGAATATGGATCTGGAGCTGAGACAGATGGAGGACTCAACAAATGGGTGGAAGTTATAAGGAGGCATATTTAAGCTCAATACAATTAAAATGTTTCTAACAGGTAGAAATCATTCATGAAAGAGCGGGCACCCTGTCAAATTGTGAACAGTGTTAATGAAAAAGATCTCAGCCCGGGTAGATGGTTAATGTAACCTACATGGAAGGTCCTCTTCTTCACTGAAAAGCTGTTCATTTAAACACAAAATGCAGGTTGAATTGAGAAATGCACACCCTTTATGTAAAGCCAAGATGGAGTTTTTTCCTCTGCCTCACATCTCCAAAACCCAGAGTAAGCCGGCTGTTTTTCAAGCTAGCTTCTCAATAATTCTGATGGGAAGAATGAACTTTTGAAAGGTCCAATTTTTTTCCCCACATAACAAAAAGGCTCTTCTAACTTGTCAGCCTACAACTACCGACAAACTCAGTGTCAAAGTTTACTTGAACTTAAAAAAAAAAAAGACAAAGAGTTGTTCAATTCAAGTAACCATTTGAATGAACGTGGTTATGGGGTGATTTAAAGTGTTTGGGAAAGCCTGCCTTCCTATCCCAGAGAGGCAGGAGGCCTGGCAGTGATGTCAAATTGTGCACCTACTAGTCTCCAACGCTTTGGGCATGCCAGAAAAAGGCTTAAATGCAAGATTAGATTGTGAACAGTACAACCTGATGCTAACAACCAAAGTTAATTAGCCACTTAACATGCGCCATGCATATGCTGACACGCACCGGCTCGGGCAACCCTCCGGTGACCCTCTAGTGCAGGCGCTGTTATCTTCCTCTTACGGACGAGTAACGGGGGGGAGTGGAGAGGGTAGAGACAGAGAAAGAGCTCATCAAACACTTCTCAGCGAGTATACAGGAGTACAGGTAATCAAACTTCAGTTTTCAGCTGCTATGCTTAAGATAAGAGACACTAAAAGAACGATATTTAACTACGGATGGAGTTGACCCAGAAGTAAGGACAGCGATCCATCGGAAGCAGCTGACACCAGCCTTCGAAGCGTTCTTGGATGAGGCGCAGTTTCACCCATTTCAGAGTACAGGTGGGTTCCAAACTGTCAAGAGCGAGTTTTAGGGGATAAGGAATAAGAGTAACCCTTCCTGCTCACAGAGAGGGCTGGCCTCTCTCAGAGGGTGACTCTGGCTGGGACGCAGCCGAGAGATCGGGGTCTCTCCGGGCCTCTCCAGTCTGGAGGGCAGCCGAGGCTCCGGTCCCCCCGGAACATGGCCCAGCGGGGGTGCGGCGTGTGACAGCCCCGGCACTTGCTGTGTTCTTGTCTGGCTCTCCTGACGGGTCTGTTGTTTACACCAGGGGCATAAACAGTTGATCCAATTTCCACTTAAGCTACAATCATCCTACGTTAAAGCGGCAAATACTGTGAGTATTCTAAGAATGTATATCCTTGTTTATCAGAAGCCATGATTAAAATAAATTTTAATGTTTTCCCTCCCTTCTAAGGCCCTTTTAGACAGCTTAGCTAATGGCAGTCCTCAAAGCCAGTGTTTCTTAAGGTAGAGCCTGCATACCATCTGTGTTAAAATCGTCTAGGGTGTTTCTTAAAAAGGACCCTATCCCAAACCTACCATATTGGTGAGGATAGAGACTTGACAAAAATCTCAAAATCTCAGTGGCTTGACAGAACCAGGGTTTATCTCCCCCTCACTTGAAGTTTGCTGCAGGTTTGGTGGTTCTCCACAATACTCCTTTCCAAGCAGGATCCAGTCTGCTCATGTTTTCTGGTTCCATTATCTCAACAAAGGGGCCTGGAGAATTCACACCATGCTACTACACCCTGGCCTGGTGGCCCACTGCCACGACCAGTGCAAGGATCCAGCCTCCTGCAAGTTGCTGGGAAATGCAAGGAGACACAAGGACATGGAGTGGACAATAAATATCTCTGATACTTTCCATCCTTTGCCTCTTTTTCCTACACAGAGAACATAAGTGCATCTCTTCCTAAGAAAGACAATGCTAGTCCCATCCAGTGGATGCATGGAGCTCAAAGCCTAGGATTTCTGGGTGATGGCCAGTGGTCATTAGCTAGTCCAGACGTCCTTTTGTGTTAGAGAACGATGAATTTAAAAATCAAGTTATCTGCCACTCCCTACTCATACTCCCAATAGAGAATGATGGAACAGCGACACAGCAACTGCAACTGATACTCCCATTTGGAAAAGGGAAGACAGGGAGACACCATAGTCCCTGGGTTGTGGCAACTCTGAAATCTCTCTGGACAGTGGCGATGGCAGCTCCCCACCCAAATATGGAGGCCCTATTTCTGTCCCCTGGGAAGTGGGGGGCAGTCCCTTGTCTGTTCCTTTCTGTAGCACCTGGCTCCACCCCCTGCGAAGTTCTTAATCTTCCCTGACTTTCCTTTGTTCCACTGAAAACGGTTATTGCGCCATATGCCCTCCTTGAGGGCTTTCTAATCGAGGGGGTTTGAGAGGTCAGGGTCATTTTAAGTGTCTTGATATTTAGACCAATATGACTTTCTCGTAGATTCAGAAGACTTCCAGTGCATTTGCTCGCAAATCAATCCTGTGTGCCAGGGGCCCCATACACACAAGATGTTTGAGACACGCCTTTTCAAATGGCCTGATTTCTTGGTTGGTTCCTTCCAGCCGACTAGCCACACACTAAACCTGATCTCTGTCCTGAGTGATTTGGATCATGTGTTTTTTTTGGACATTCATTATTGCAGCCTTTCTATATCAGATTTCTCACAGTTTGTGGTCCAGTTGCAGTGAGTTTTCCAGTCCTTCCAGGCATCACATATCTGGGATCTGCTGCCTTTCGTTTCTGCCGGTTCTTTCTGGGGCGCATCTCTCCCTTCCTCCTTCCTTCCTCTAGCCATGGCCCACGCACACTACTGATGTTCTTTTCTCTAAACTTCTTCCCCTGCACCTGCCAGCTCCATACTCACATGGTCTCCCTCCCATGTCATCAATGCTGACAGTTGTAACAAATATTTTTGCCACTGAATAACAATCTCCACATTTCTGATCTTTGTGGTCAGTTTCCTCACTGCCTGTCACCGGACTGCTGGGCCAGTGCCATACCCCCTGCGAGCTTTACTGTAGCAGCTCCCCACGGTCGGTTTGCAATTCTGCAGTTGTCATAAACTAGGTCATGCAGCAGAAGGAAGCCCATCTCCAAAGAGCTGTTGCTTCACATATAAAAGTTTATGTTTTATTCAGAGTCTCCCATGGGTCTCGTGGCAATCTGTGGCACTCCCCCCTCACCCCCAAGCAATGATGCAGGGACCCAAGATGCTTCCATCTTGTAGGTTTAAAACTGGAGCACGTGGCTTGCAGGGTTGAAGGGAAAAGGGAGCTGGGATGGTCATGCACCAGCTCTGAAATGCTTTGGCAAAATAGTGACACATGTCACATCAGCCACCAGCTTTTGGCCTTGGCATACAGCCCTTGCCTCTTCCATGAACAGTAAATATCTCTGGCCCAACTACTTATTCGAACTCTAAGATGGGGGTGGCTGGCATCTGCATTTTAACACCTATTTGATGTTTGGGAACATTTGTTCTAGAATAAGTGGTGATATTCCTACTTTATTCATTATAAAGCTGAGCCTTAGCGATGGTTCAGCTTACCCAAGGTCACCCAAATTTAGTGCCAAAGCTCCTTGTGCCTCCTCGTTCTGGTCGACTCCAAACTGCTGGTATGTAAAAGTCCCATCATAATGCCACTCATGCTCTTCATTCAAGATCACAGACTGAGGAACCATGTTCCTCTTCTTCTGCTTCTTTCCCTGGGGTCCTATGAACTGAAAGGACTGTGTAGGAAAACAGATTAAAGCAGCATGCTAGCAAATTCAAAGAAAAGTGAAAAGGATGGAAAAGAGGAGGGGAAACAATTTTCCGAGAAGAGGAATCCACTTGGTCCAGCATAAATTTGCTAATGGTTCACCCCCATAAGCTTAAAACAAGTGAAAACCCTTAAATAGCTCCCTCCAGTCCTTAGCTGGACCAAATGACAGGGGCAGGAAGCTGTGCGAGTACCCAGGTATCCACGTGGTCACAACGGTGCTGGTTCTTTGCTGCTCTGCAAAGCCTGCTTCACCTGTGAGCTCATTCTCCAACGGAATCTGATTCCGTACATCTGCGATAAATATTCACATTTGTCAAGGTGAGAGAGGGAAGCTTCAGAACTGAGGGAATTTGCTTTGGAGTTTGCAGATTTTATCCTTGCATCATACCAGAGAAGAAAAAAAAAATAAATGTGGGGTGAGGAAGAGGGAAATTCTTCCTTGCTAAGAGGACAGAAATAACTTGAGCTAATTAGATGAACCTAAAAAGGTAAGTGAAAATTAATGAGAAATAAGAAGAATTTTAACTCTGGAAATAGCCTCTCTTCTGTGCTGTTGAAATCCTATCCCCTTTAGTGGAATAAGCTTAGGTCAGGAGCTAACCTGCCAGGGCGAAACTCGAGCAAAAGGGAATGTGCTTTGGGCAGCCCGAGTCCAGCTGAGTATCTTGCAGTGTTTTCCCCGACTTTGGAGTTCACTCAAAGTATGATTTAAATTTTGCCACAAGCCTTTACTTTTGGAAAACCGTATGTATTTTTTAACAAATTCAATTTGGATGTTTCTTATTTTCTTGCCCTTCAGCTCATTAAGATGTTATTTTGTCGGAGTCGTTTGTTTGGGAAGCAATCTGATTCTTTTTGGAAAATCTTGAGAAGCCTTTGTTGTTGGAAAAACGCAGCAAAAATCTGTCTGATCTTGAGTGCATACATTCAAAGTGAATGAGAAAGTCATAGAAATTTCTGAACCAGTGGTTCTAAGGTGTGGTCCCTAACAATGGTAAATATATGTGCACCCAACATAGGAGCATCTCAGTATACAAGGCAACTCTTATCAAGGTGTGGTCCCCAGGCCGGTACCGTCGCCTAGACACAGGGTCCTCACGTTAAGAAGGGCCTCATACTTGGTTTTATGCTATCATTATCTTGAAATTCTTACCTTTTTTTTTGTAAGTAAAGTCCAGTGGGACACTAGGACAATGGGACATTGCATGGGCAGATTCCCCATCCACAGATGGCATTCACGGTGCCCCATGGACGTAGGATTCCAGCAGACCCACATGAGCGAGAGCTCAGTGAGACGCAAAGCCACTGCAGGGTAAGCACATTATGTCTACAACTGAATAAACCGGGCAAAGATGTGGAGATGAAGGGGGCACTGACATCTCAGAGAGGGCACACTTTCTATTTGCACCAGAGCTTTCGTGGAACCCAGAAGAAAGGCAGTGGCATTCGAAGAAACACATCCCACCAAGAAACACTATCGTATCATCTCTTGTTTGTGAATTAGCCAGCTGTTCACCCTCAGAGAAGGAAAGAGAGAGGGCACCCCCGGTTCCTTATCTTTTCAGATACGCACCAGTAATTCAAAAGCAGAGAAAGGCAGTCGACTATTTACATATCAAGAAGTGAAATTTAAAACAGTGGAATCCGTTTTGTGCATCAATTCCACCCCTCAGGTTAGAAAGGAATCTTCATGTACACACATACATGCACATACTACAAAGACGAGTTGTGTAATTAATTTCAGTGATTTCGCAGATGAGTTAAATGCTCTTTAAAAACTGTCATTGTGCAACTTAGCAGATGAACAGTAAACTTCAGGTGAATCATTAAATGGCAATTAAAAAATACCATGACTTGTTGAGAGGGAGCACAGAAGAAAGGGAACAGTTTTATCTTCTAGTACCTTACTAATAGCACTTTTTCTTGCTTTTTGAATAGGGGGCCCCATATCTTCATCACACACATCTGTGTTCACCGTAAGGCAGTCATGCAACTTTGAGCAGTGGTCTCAACCCCTCCGGTCCTCAGTTTTCTTAGCTGCGAAGTGGGGGTATTAAGGCCTGCCTCATAGTGTGCTTAGAGGATTTAAATAAGCTAATACATGGAAAGGGCTTAGCACAGTGTCTGATACCTGGTAAGGACGTGAGGAGAAGGCATTTCATCTATATCACTGTTAATAATAATTAGTATTTTCTCCATTCCTCATTGCTGGTGGCTTGAGCCTCATCCTCAACAAGGCATCACACTTGTTTAACGCCCTCTGGGTTGCCCCTCTCTGCCTTGGATTGAGACTTGCAAAAGAAACGCAGGAAAGAGCAGAACCTTTCTTTTGACTAGAAGAGGGGAAGGAATGAGAAACAGGACAGTGTTTCTTCATCTTGATAAGGCATCTTCTTGTCTGCAACGTTCTGCCTTCTGGCATAAATTTGCCCCAAATTCTAAAGCACACGAGGAAGTCCCTAGCCCCCTTGACTGGATGTTGCATGAGAAGCAAGTTGCACAGGAGCCAAAAACCTGAGCTTTGGAGCTGGGCCCACCTGTGCCCTGACTCTGTGCCACTTGCCCTGGGTGATCTCAGGCCCCTTGTGTATGGGCTAGAGGTCTGTTTCTTCAAATGCAAAAAAGTACCAACAGAGAGCCCATTCATTCCTCCAAGATACTGCTGGTTTGGTTCCAGACCACCACAATTAAACAAACATCCTAGTAAAGTCAGTCACATGATTTTTTTTTTTTTGGTTTCCCAGTGCATATAAAAGTTATGTTTACACTGTACTGTAGTCAATTAAGCATGAGACAGTGTTAGGTCTTAAAAAGTATATACCTAATTAAAATACAACAAGTTGCTTCTATATAGCAGAGGGAACTACATTCAATATCTTGTAGTCACCTATAATGAGAAAGAATGAAAAGGAATATGTATATGCACATGTATGACTGAAACATTATGCTGTGTACCAGAAACTGACACACTGTAACTGACTACACTTCAATTAAATATATATACAATTCATTACTAAAAAATGCTAACCATCATCTGAGCCTTCAGTGGCTCATAGAAGTACCGTCAAAGATCATCGTAACAAATATACTCGTGATGAAAATGTGAGACAGACCGTGAGCGTTACCAACGTGACAGACGTGAAGTGAGCAGACACTGTTGAAAAAATGGCACCAATAGACATGCTTGAAGCAAGGTTGCCACAAACCTTCGGTTTGTAAAAACAAACAAACAAACAAACAAATCTCTGTGGAGCACAATAAAGTGAAATGGAATAAAACAAGGTCTGCCTATAAAAAGAAAGAGTGTGTGTCAAGCCCACAGCTCCGTATCAGGCTCCAAGTGCTCCACACCTGTGTGCGGCTGTGGGTCTCATCACAGACCAGCGTTCACACCAGCTCAGGCTCAGCATCTTAGCATCAATTGTGTCAGCAGGTAGTGCCCCTGAACCCCTTTCCTGACTGTCCAACTGGCATGGTAATAATGGCCTCTCCTGCCCACCGCTAAGTATGAACCCGCAGTACTATCCAAAAGCTCTTTATAAATGATCGAAGCTTCAAAGAACACGAGGAAGTTTTGTTACTGATATTGCTGTCTTCAGAACAAAGGCAGTTAGAGCCTGAGAAGGGCTACGTTGTTATAAACTCACTATCTGCTCTTTACATGAATTCAGAGATGTTGCGGGAACCAAGTCCCAATTACTTCTGTTTATTGCAGCAAGAGACAGTGTGTTTTAGCACGAGGCTAAAAAGTGATCTGTAAAAGGATTAATGTTGAGTGTTAAATATTCTCCTGCTTTTGTTGAGATCTTTAGGAGGAAGTGCTCAGACCGGCTGCACAGTGGGCATCATTAGAACTCAGATACCAATCCAGGACTGCCCGGGGCTTCCTCAGTGCCAAGTGTGGAGCACGATCTGTAATGAGCATAGCTTTCAAATGGGCTATGGGAGGGATTATCCGCCTTCTGCTGTGCCCACATCTGGATCCTACCATGGGTCCTGTGTTCCTTGAGGATAGATCTTGCCTTCTTAAGTGAGTTATGCCTTGTGGTTCCTCTGACACATTAGTGTGCATGTAAATCACCCAGGAATCATCTTAAATGTGGATTCTGATTGGGTAGGTCTGCTTGGGGCTGAAAATTGTACATTTTTAGCAAGCTCCCAGGTAATGCCAATGCTGCTAGTCCATAGACCATGCACACTTTGTGCAGTAAGTGTTCATAGCTGAAAGGGCTCACAGCGGAAGCCCTGGTGGGTGGCTGTGGAGCCTACAGGTGAGGGCTCTGTGTCTAATGAAGAGCCAGAGCAAGATGAAACCTGGAGATGCATACATGGGCAGTGGTACCTATGACCAGCCAGGGATGAGAGCTTTGGCGAGTGGTTGTGGAGGGATTACAAGGGATGTGGCATTAGAGGTGCCAGTCTCTAAATAACCATCTGCTGACAAAGAACATAATCTTTCCTTTTGGACAGTTTTGACATTCAAGTCTGAGAAAATATGAACATCTTGAAATAGTATCATCACTCGACTACTTTTTTAGTAAGTTGGTTGGTTGCCTCATCTATTAAATGTTTACTGAAAATACGTTTTTAAAGACATTGTTGATATATAACATTAAGTTCATTTCAGGTCTACAACATCATAATTCCGTATTTGTAGATGTCGTGAGATAATCACCACAGTAAGTCTAGTTAACATCCATCACCACATAGTTACAACATGTTTTTTCTTCTGATCAAAACTTTTAAGATCTACTCTCTCAGCAACATTCAAATATACAATATTATTAACTGTAGTTTAAAATGCATTTTTAGCATATTTTTTAAAAAATGTTGTCTCTTGATAGTCATTTGAATCTCACCATGAAAACTGGCCAAGTCTTTTGTCTATAAAATTATGTCTAAATTTTTAAAGTCAGATAAAGAATGGATTGGTTTAAAGAAAGTGGAGATTATTTGGAATTGTTTTGAAATCCAGCTGCCTGAAATCCACAATTGCTTTAGAAAATATTTTTAATATTTAGAATTTGTCCAATGATACCATATTGAACAGCTTTAAAGATTCTTAAGCATTTTTTTCCAGCCCCATTTTAAAACAACTGATTTTTTTAAAGCCTTTCAGCATCTGAGGCTCAGGAGACTATAGAAAATAAATTGTTTGGGTTTGTTGTTTCTCTTAGTCAACAAACATGCACTGCGCACCTACTAAGCACCAGGCACTTTGTAGGATGCCGAGGATGCATGAAGACTGAAGCTCCGTCCCTGCGGTCACAGCGAGATAAAGGGACACTTGGCAGTGTACTGAAGCAAGTCCGAGGCAGAAGTTGTATGAAAGAGAAGGTAATCTACCGAAGCCCTTAGTGTGTCATTATGGGACGCTCATTTTCAGCCACAGGCACTTCTTCTATACTCTTTATTCCATCCCAAAGAGTGGTGGTAATAAAAGTTATAGCCAACAGTTACTGAATGTCTACAATGTACCAGGCTCTGAGCTGCCTTGCTGAACGAGGAGACTGAATCCTCACAAGATCTCCACAAGGTATGTGCTGTTACGGCACCGTGAACATGCCTGAGATCACAGCGTTACAGTGTACTCAAGCCCTGTCCCGACCTGGTCAGCCTGATTCCAAAGCCCGCGCTGTTCCCACCACACTACACTCATGAC